TCAAAACATGTCCCAAGTACAAATGTATACATTTTATGTAATGTACAGTAACTTGGTAAGACAAAACTTGATTTAAATCATGATTAACGAAGTTGTCTGTAAAAGGAAAACAAAAATACCTTGACCTCGAGCAAACAGACTAATTATTTCTTCAGAAGCGTTTTAGTATCAGAATTGTTTGAATAACCCTCGTAACAATGAAGACTTTAATCGATTATTTTTAATGAACATATTCAGTGAATAGCTACTACACATGCTTAGAGATATATTTACATGGTTCCAATTATATAATATTAATTTATAAGATCAAATTTTAGTAAAATTCATGAAATGCTGTTGAATCATCATCATCATCAATCATATTTCAAGCTCACCATATGATACAAAATAATGAGTTACTTTGTTTTATTGTCCCACATCATTCTCGCCTACACGCGTATTATAGAGAGAAAAAAACTTAAGTTTGTACTTAAAAACAAAGGTTTCTAACGTTTTGAAATAAAAATATCGTACATAAAGAAACTGATGTCGACATAGCTAAAAGAAATATGAATCTTTACCTGCACTGCAGAAACCCAAAGAGAAAAGCCTTCGCCACAAGTATAAAACTTGTTTTGTATTTTGTCATTTGAATTCCATTACTTTTGACTTAACTTTTAACATTATAAGAAGGCGAAAACATTTATTTATATAAAGTAGATATAAAAGGGGATTATATATACCTTTGCATCTTCCCAACCTCGATTTTCAAGAGAGAACAAGTAGCAATTACCACCAAACTTCTCCCAGCCACTTTTGCAACCTAAAAAAAGAAATTACACATTATTTTAAAGAAAGCATGTAATAAGCTCCGATGACAAAAAGTCTAAGTTTGGAAAACTTTGATAGTTTTCGGTTTTATGGTATTCTATACATATAATTTGTAATTATACAAGGAATATAATGCTTTGAATAGCACCTAAAAAGAAATACTACTCTTTAGAATATGTTTTATTTTCTATGATTGTTTACAAATATTATCCAGTGGTTAAAAAAATAGTCAGACGGTAATATCAGCTCATCTATCTCATGTTTTATAACAGAATAAAATGGAATCCTAGGCTACTATCAGTCTTGTCGGGACTTAAATCAATAATCATTTCAAAGTTCTGCCATGAAAACTTACTGCAAGTCGATGTGTTAATGCATCCGTCGCTAGGAATTATCTTGAGACCAAACAGTAAATTCTTTATAACATATTGGATTCAGAACAATAAAAGACATATATTTGATGATAAAGAAGAAACAAAACTATTGGAACATGTAATGCTACTTAACGGGGAAGTTTTATTCGTTTACATTATTTTTCCGTTCAATGATTTCGTTACTCCATTTAGGTATATATACTAGTATATCAACTATACCTACTTTTTATTGCGCAAATATACGGATACTTGTCTTCACAAAAATCGTCTTGAATCAGCCCAAGGGCGTCGGGAAGTGCATTGACTGTTAACATTCCACAATTTTGATTTCCTTTCCAATTATTTGGCTGATCTAGTTTCAAACATTCATACGTATTATATATAATGTTAACTCTATATATCATATTATAATACATATATCAGAAATGCTGAAAAAAAATCAAATTTTCTCTGTTTAATGCGTAGAATATTAAAATTAAACTGAATTATCAGTATACAAATAACCTTTGCTCCTACTATTTACGTCTCTGTGACCATGTGTCAGCCACCATTCTCGAAAAATGCTTCACAAAATAATTAATGGAAATGCAAAATGAATCATCGTCGGATACCCATTGTTGATTAACAAGTAATCCAGCCGTGGGTACAATGAATCGATTTGCGTTGGTATACAGCAGCAGGTGCGTAATATATCGGCCAATGAAATCGCGCTGAACAAAATTTATATTCTTCAACGGTAAATGTATAAACTATCAATCACAGTAATTTTCTATGCGTTTTTATTGAAATCGTTCACATTATTAATATTGAACTTTTCAAAGCTGAATTTAATTGGTGTAAGCAATTTTATCTGTAGTATTGAACTTCATTCAAAATGAGCGTTTTGATTTCAATCGCCTCAAGAAATCGTGATGCAAACCAATGATATATATATATATAGGCATTTGACACAACTCTAATCGACTGGATATCGGCCGAAAATCCCAGGGCTGATAAATGTTAACAGTTTGGTCGTGGATATCCGACGATGAATATGCATTTGCTTTGAATAAATGAATATTTCCTGTGAACATACATATTAAAGAAACTCCACTGAGGTAGAAACGCTTAACCAAATATAAAATTTGGAAAATTTAGCGTATAGCAAAATGAAAATTCTGCAAACTTTAAGGATGATAAAGAAATATACTCTAAAAATTGAAAATTGATTGCCTGAACGATTCCTAGCCGGAGTGGAAAGCGTTGCAACGCTTGTTAAAAATGATTATTCCAGAAAAAAACAGCGTGAATGAATGTCCTTGAATAATTTGCAGTGGTCTATTTCTTCGTCAATTGGTACACAAATCTTGTCAAGTCCTGTCATTTCACAAAACCTACGTGAAGTCCCTTTAATCTTTTATTTGACAGGAATTTGTTTTTTCGTTGATTTATTCCTTATGTCCTCTACAATATGTCAGATTACTTACTTGGTGCCCAGAGCCCGTTAATCCACGTTGTCCCGTCAATCCATTGAAACAAGCCGTCTTCCTGCATATCGTGTGCGCCAATCCAGGCCCCTTTCATGCTTAAATCCGCGGAAGCCATTACTTTACAACGAAATATGCAGAATATAACAAGGATGTGCTGAAGTTACAACTTTATGATTTCTTCTCTTATAGTTTCATGCATACACAAAAAATCAATTAAATGTTAAAAAATTCGAAAATGTAATAAGTTGTATCATTACAAACATAGTAACTTATATATAAATATTCCATACCTTTTAGAAAAAACTGCTCTGGTTTATTAGCTATAGTCGCCAGTATACCGCCGTGCTCGACACATTTTAAACGGGCAGCATTCCATGTCTCACGTTCCTGAAGGTAATATTTGTAGCATGTGTCCGTTTCTCCGTTGTAGACCCACCCGTCACCACACTTCTTGTCGTCTAAACGATTTTTTTCAAAATGATTATTCAAAAAATGAATTCATTTAAACTGTTTAACATCACGTCATCAATTAAAGCTTTTGTCAAACTAGTAATTTTTTGACGACATTAGGAAGCTGATAATTATATTGAGTAAATTTTATATTGTTTTTAAAAATACAAAATACGATGTTAGTGTAGAACAACAAAAAACTAAGAAACAAAACACACAGATCCGATAGCATTTCAATATTCAAATACCAAAAACAAACTCGTAATATCGGCTTACCAAGAGTAAAGGAAAAATATAGTAAGTTAAATAATGTCTTTAATATACCGATTAATCATCTCTCTTTACGATATGTTACAACTTAACAATCAATGCAATGCAAATTATATCATTATAAAGTTTAGAATTTCATATGAAATGATTTTATTGTGTTAGCATGGCATCTCACGTTTTCAATGTTTTATAAAAATACAAAAGACTAAATGTAAAACTTTATGAAATTATGAGTTAACTTGAATATCATGATACTTTTTCTTTAACTGTTAACTATGTCTCTATATAATTATGGAATTATAATATGTTATATAACTTTAACTATATTTAACGTATACTGAATATATTTTCTCAATAAAACTTTAGTATTTTGTCATACAATAGTCCGTACAATAGCATCAGTTGGCGGTAGACAATATTAGCAATTACTATTTTTAACAACATAAATTTGTATGAACATTTTTATTTAATCTTGTTATACTGATATAGATTCTGATATTTAAAATAATATCAAAAATTGTTCTCAGATACGACAGAAACTCAGCTAAAAAGCACTTTGTCAACTTAGTTAGATTTAATTTTCATTTGAAAATACGGGATACTCATTCCCATTGAACGATGTATAGATACCTTGGCTGTATTGACAAATATACCCTTGCATTCCAATGACACACGCTGCGTCGTTCAGTTCTCCAACAGCACTTCCGTGTGTTCTCATCATGGCACAGTTTTCACCTTTGTAATTGTCAGGCTGTCCTATTATTTTAAATAGAACATAATTAAATATACAGAAGTTCATACTTTTGTGTCCTAATATCTTTATCATTTTATCATTGACTTGGCTTTGAATGTGTTTCATTAACATTAATTGGTTTATTTAGAAAAGGTGGGAGATCTATTGGGAAAGCAAGGAAAGCAAGAAAAATACATGAAAACAGAAGAGTCGGTTTGAGAGCGCCTCTTTATGCAAATCTGACTTTCTCAAATCCCTTTGTAATATGAGATTAACGATCAGTAAGGGAAACCTGTCAATGGAAAATAAGAAAGGTCCAGCTGCGTATGTTGGACATTTATATATTTTTTAAAATTTAATGTATTAATGCCTTTTACCACTATTTCTTTAAATATAGCAGACTTATTGTGGGTGAAAAGTTCAATATTCAAAATGGAAACCTTGATGATGGTAGTCAGTTGCATATTAAAGCCACTCAGCACCGGTTAAACAGGACTTGGTTTTTAACATTTGTTTTTAATTTTAGAATTTGTTTTTTTTAAACAAGATCTGGGAAGTCAAATGAAAATGTGCGCTAAATTTGATTATTTCATCATATCAATTCCTACAAAGCACAAAACTCTTTTTAAAATCAAGATAATATCAATGGTCAGATTCCACTCTGTCATCTCAGTGTTATTATATTTTAATATCCTTCGGGATCACTGAATGTAGAGGATTGAATACCAGTTAAGCCGGTGTTTGTGGGCATGGAAATATTGCACTTTCAATTATTATTCACTTTCATTATTTACCTGTAGACCATACCACGCTTCGGTCAAATAAAGCATTCGTCATAAACCATTGCCAACTTCCTTCTGCATGTTCATCAATGCCACCAATCCAAACACCATCGAAATTCCCAACACCAACAATAGTCCTTTTTAGAATTTCTACAATAAACAGATGAGCTTTATATCTATTTTCAAAATTTTACCCTTCGGTTGTCAATATTTTCTTGTTCATATGGAATAGATCCGTTTTGCATTATGTTTACAGTGAGTACAGTTATAGTATGAGTATGATTTATTTTATCAATGGATACCGATGTTGCCATGATCCATCAAAGATCTTTGAGCCTATCACGCTGCTGTGAATATTGTTTTTTTTTTAATTTTACAATATTTGCAATTGTTACTTAACACAAACCGTATCTTAATCTTTTTATAATTGACATTGACCAGGAATGAAAGTTACATTGTACATTATCAAACAATTTTAACATACCATGAAATTATAATTGGACATCCTTTATCATATACAAAAGATATATCATACATTTACCAGTAAAAACTTTTTGCTCGTAGATATTCTTGATACTTCCTAAGCGAGCGTTGTTCTTCATACATTTGCTGGCGGCGGATAAGAAATTTACATTGGACTCTTCAAATATACGGAAGCAGGAGGTTGATACCTGACTGTAAAGCCATCCCGATCTACATGCTAGGAAAACAGTATTAGACTATTAAATGAGAGCATCGAAGAGGCGAGGCAATATCCGCCTGAATGAAACTTTGTTTGAGTAATCAAAAATAATCTTAAAATTAGGGAAAAGACACAGAAACGTAGCTAGTCAGACAAAGTGTTGCATCTTAATAAGACTTATGTTACTAAATGATCCCCCAGGCGAGGACATTTTTACACCCTAGGTGCATGATTCATAAAACTTTAGGAAGGTCTAATATGTAATGCTTTATGCCAAATATGTTAACTGTGTACATAGTAGTTTTCCGCAAAAACATATGTTATCCTATTCATTAATTTTATTTATTATATGATCTAAAAATAGCTGCAATCTCATTGGTCCAAACTGTAGTCAACAGAACATTTTAAAAAATCATATTCACTAGGTGTAGTATCATATTAACTGGCTGAATTGGATTTTCCAAGTCTAAAAATAGATTGAGACTCATATTCAATGACCATACACCGTAGACTGTTAATTACTTGTGTTAATTAAAAAATAAATGTTGCGTTTTGTTCTTTATGGCATATTTCTCGATTGAAATACCATTACTTTACTGTTATACTTAAAGGCTAAATCGCATTGATGAGTATAAACTTGAATTACTTTTGTATGCGCAGCGTTCGCGTAGTCTTTTTTCCCGCGCTTCAACGAGGCAAAATTTGTACATGTATATAAGGATGTACTTTTTCGTGATTTTTTTTAATTCTTAGCCTATTCATATAATAAAACAATTATTCACTAGTGAGCCATTGAATATGATATGATATTCACCGGCAGAAACATATGTCATCTGCCGTTGAATATCACATCATATTCAATGGCTCACTAGTCAATAATTGTATAATATATATATATATACGTATAAAGCAAGTGACACCCAGAACAGGGCCAATACTGACCGCAGAGTCATATTTGGTGTAATTTTTGTAGAAAAGAACAAATAATTGATAATACATTCTAAATAACTCAAATCTAATAAACTATGTAACGCTAATTTTTACTAAACAGTCATTATTACTTTAGTAGAAGTGACAGAGGTCTACTAAGCAATAAACCATGCTTAATCAAAGCTCTGAACATCTAAGTTTCATCAATAAATCTAAATATGATATAAAATAATTGACCACGCATGGGGCTGATATTTATTGAACCGGATGATTTAAATCAGTTGTGTGAAGATACACAGTGATATGTTTCATGCCAAATATTTAACAATTAATTAGGATTTAATGTGTTTTCATGTAATTCTAATACTAGTGGGACGGGGTCAATATTGACACAAGGAGCATAATAAATACCAGATTTATAAAGGGCTACAAGGCAATGCCAAATGCCAAATATCAAGTTCTGCCGCTGCGTTTCATACAAGGTCCTACTTGGAACATAAAACCAACTCTTGGACTTATTTAAAACCGTTTTAATAAACATTTTTATTTACAATCAAATACTGTAGACTATGAATAAATGAATTTTCCTCAGAGAAAAGTTAAGAAATACAATGATAAATTCTTTTATTTGCAATATGTCAATGTTCATCAGCATTGCTATTCAGAAATAACAAAAGTCATAATATTGGAGCCATAAGTTAGGACATTTTCTTTGAAACGCAAAATTGTCTGTCTTAGTTTTAAGAATGATTTCAGACTAAGGACTTTCTATGAAACGCAGCCCTGAGCATTGAAGTTTCATACAGTAAGACTTACATGTGTTTCCGTATAAAAGTCTTTATACATTAATTGACCCCTGGGGATTGGTGAAAAATTGACCCAGTGGGCATGATATATTTCAGTTTTGTGGAGGTCTACATGACATTCAACCTTACATCTTAGCTCTTGTCAGTGTAGTTTTATAGAATAAGATTTAATAAAATTTAATTGTGATTCTTACATATTTGGCTGATACCCTATGGAAATTGCATAGAGGTAAATTATCACAACTTTGTGCTTCTAAATTAACTCTTTAATGACATGACTGGTGACATTTTCGGGGTTCGTACTCGACAGCTTAAGCTGTTTTTGTGCCCTTACCGGGCGGATGGACCCTCATTAAGCATAGACTACATACATACATCTTATATAACACGAACATGCTCATAGGTTGGTAAACAATAGGACGACCAAATGCAAAACAATAAACACCGATATTTGATAATTCGATTCTGACATAACTTAATTTATGCGATATGAATATTTTTCATATGAAATTCATATTTTATTTAGAAAATTGGTTTCCTTTGCTGGCATAAATTGATTGCAAAATCGATTCATTTAGTATTGGCTACCTGCAAATAATGCTATGTTTTGTAACAAATAGAACAATTATCTTTACTTCTGATACCCTCTGCTTTAAAAATTCATATTAATTAGATATATATCTAACAAAATTATAAGCGACCATCAACAACGGAAGATCAACAGCCACGAAACGCAACCCTTCTACATTATTAAGCCACAAGACCCAGTGGGACATAGCATAATACCGTTTGCAATCTTCCTATTGCATAATCATAATCATGCTTAAGATTTTACCTCCTTGTGTTGGCAAGGTTATTTGAACTGGTGCGGTCGTAGCAATTGTAGTTGTTGTTGTCATTGGAATTGTGGTTGTTGTCGTCGTCGTTGTTGTTGTTGTTGTCGTCGTTGGTGTTTCTACAACAGATTTGTACATGTGTATACATGTATTTGTTTGTACATTTTTCAAAGAAGACGGAAAATACAGACGATTTATCCAAAAAATGTTTTTATTGTTTGTTGTTGTTGTTTGTTGTATTTATTTCTAAAAATAACTATTGCGGTTAGAAGAATATGCAACATGATTCAAACAAAATATTTACATCAATCAGACTTCAATGCATTTTTTTAAGAAAAAAAGCACGATATGAATTGAACGCCAATGTGCATTGTCAATAACTTAAAGGATAGTCCAATCTGATCTTAATCAGCTCTAAATAACGCTCCGCTTTATGATCTGATCGTGACCAATCATCGACGAGCTTTCATAATTTTGAAAGCGATGACGTTCACCAATATGGAGAAGAAAGTTTCACGATTTCGAGCAAACATAGCGTTGTCCATATATCCGACAGGTAAACTGGCAAAACAATCTTGCCCATTAAAAATTGACTTTTTTTACAAGTTTAATTGTTAATTATTACTTCAAACATTTTTTGCTTACAAAAAACAACAATTTGGTTAACTGCCACGGACAACGGTATTTTGAAACTTCTTAAATGCCTTTGAATAACTTGGTTTGATTGCATAACTAGAATATCTTTCTCGGGAAATCCGAATTATAAAGAAGGCGAACATATGCGGTCGTCATCAGATCTACATAAAAGAAATAAGTAGATTTGAACTAAAGTCAGATTGAGGATAGTCAAGTGTTTTGGGTTTTTTCTATAAATGCGGGCTAATTTTCACGAGTGGCGGTGAATTATGATAATTTTCATACCTCGAGTCGAAAATAAGTCCCAAATCTATATAAAGAAAAAACTAAAACAACTTGAATTTTTTTAATATACTATCTTACGATTCGAAAGATTTCCTAATTAATTTTGTTTATTGCCTGAATTTAAACATTCAAAAATTCAGTATTAGAATATTTTTTTTAGTATTTTTTAAGTTGAATAAAAACGAAACAACATATTATAGCCCTTTTAAAATAAACTTCTTTACAACTCATACAGAAAAGACATTTCTTCTTATAAGGGCATTAATATCCATCAACCTTCTTTCCTGCAGGCAGCTCTAAGAGGCGTGTCACACTTTTTATCATTCCATTTTCCTGAGTACGATGATAAATCCATCCTCATCGAAACGCAATTTTCTGAACCTAGATTATTCGGCTCATCTAAAATTGAATGATAATTATTCATTCAACTAAGCATTGGCTGCGTGAAATAAATTAAAAATTAGGAATAAAGTCACGAAAACTTGTCTTTTTCCTATATGATATTTGTTTTTATTTTTAATTTAATACAGATGAAAAGGAAATTAACTACAACGTTGAAAAAGTTGACAGTTTTTTTAAATATTAAATCTGTTTCAAATTTAAAAGATTACCAACTATAAAATGAGCTTACTTTTAATGCTGCAAAATGTTACCAGTTCTTAAACATTACTGACAGTTAACTTTAGGCAATGTATTTTCATTTTTGCTGTAGCAACTTAAGAAAGTCATATCAATTATAAGGATAATATCTAAAGTGTCCTGTCAACTTCCGGACCCTAACTGGTCTGTTTATCTTAAATTGTTTAAATTAAAAAATACAAATTTGATACTCGTATATCATTTCGGGTTGCAATTACATGTACTTTCAAATTTCCATGTTTTTTTTATACATTTTACATAATGCATGTTATACAATTACACTTTTCATTGAAATGATAATAAAATAAAATGAAACATGATGCTGTTCTATAAATAGATCTAAGGCATTTAATCAAAGTGCAACATATAAGGTCAAAAATCACTAATTAAATAACTAATGTATCTCACTTTGTCCCCAATCCGTGTAAGCTACAGTTAACCCATCTACCGTCGTAAAAGTACCTTCTGTATTGATGTCATTTAAGCCAAGCCATACACTGCTACTTTCAGTAATTGGCATTGAAAGATCTGAAATTGAAAAAAATGCGAATAGCGGTATTACATTGAAACAGACTTTTCGGTAATAATATAAAACGACATGTACATTCACTAAAGAAGAACAGGAAACAAATTACTAGTAAATGATAGAAAAAAGTAAATGAAAGAAAATGAATACATACTTAAAGTTGCAAATAAATGTTGATTATTCCACTTATTATTCTGCTAGACTATGTTTTAAAAACACATATTTCTCTTAATTCATATAATGCAGTGGGGAATTAAAAAATGTGTCAAAATATGCATACATATTTCAATAATATCACGCCGATTCGATACCGATGGCAATTAGATTTTTCTATAACTTTACCATAGAGATATAATTGTTCTCTCGGTGTCTTTGGAACAACCAACTGGGCATTAAAACCTTCACAGTATTCTTTAGAGACACCCCAGGTCATTTTTGCATCGCTGATCTGATAGCATGCCGCTTCTTTGTCATACTCGTGCCATCCAGACCCACACTTGGACGCGTCAACATCTAATTAACATAAAACCGTATTGCATGATAAAGGTAAGAACATTATTGCCTGGTAAATGCAATGGTATTATTGTCGAATGAATGTGAAAATACTGTTGCCTGATAAATGTGATAATAATACTTTCTAATCAATACTGATAATTGTGAAATACTTTAGTCTGATAAATGTGAAGATACTATTGTCTGATAAATGGCTAGTAAAATTTATTTTATGTGATCACAGAAATCTTACTGACTCTTTCATATTACAAGTTTTGTAAATAATGTAACATATTTTTGTATTGCTTTACCTTCATAGACTTCAACCTCTGCTAATTCAAGGTATTCGTTCCTTCCCGGTATATCGATTTTAACGTAGCTGAAATTAACATGTTTTTAATTATAAAAAAACACTGTACAGTTTTTTTTATGTTAAAGATTGAACACATATAAAGCCGGTGATAGGGGCATATAATTTTGCACTTTTTATTGTTTCTAGACAACAAAACTCAATAAATGTCAATGTTCGCGAGGAATACCTCCATTTTTCAGAATAATCTATTATCGAACTACAAATGTAAAAAGTTTTAGTAAAAGAGTTTCAATACAAGTAAGCTAAATTCTACAAATGAAAGGTTCCTTGTGAACATTGACAAATGCAAGTAAGCTAAATTCTACAAATGGAAGGTTCCTTGTGAACATTGACAAAACAGAGAAAAATTGGAAGTTTTTTTTCAAGTCCATGAGGCTCGTCTGTGCTATAAAACGAATAAGTTTCATCATTATTTCAACATGATGATTAATCACGGCGTTGCCGATCGCGAGAAGTCAAGGCATCAGACTTGTAATCTAGGGTTTGTTTCAAATCCCCTCGAGGGAAGCCGTGAATTATTTCTGTGACAAGAAAATTAGCACTCCTTGCAAAGTACTAGTTGGTTCCGAAAAAAATCGATGTTTTGTCTTTAAGTTAAGTGGGTTAGATACGCAACATACTCTGAAAGCAATACTTTTTCAATTGAAAATAACAACAACAAAATGAAAGATGCAATAATCTGTTTCACTTCTCTAATTTCATTAATTTCTTGGAAATTCTTCATTTGCTAGCTGTTATTTGTTGTGGAAATTTAGGAAAGTAATTGGTTACAAAAACAATTAAAAAGTTTAACATTTATTATACAATTTCAAATGAAATATTGATGAAATAAAATGTGTATTTTATTTTTCGCATTTTCACTGTAAGCATTCATTTTTCACTAAAGTGAAACATATTTTCCGTATTTTCACTGGTGTCCAGCCGAACTACTTTCTTCTAAATTAATCCATACACAAAATTATCAGAGAATTCCTCCTTCTATTCATAAGGTTAAACAAGAGAAAAAGTATATAATAAAAAGAAAATTTTTTTTTTCTATTAATACAGGATTTTTTTTATCTTGTGGTATAAAATACAATTTTACCTCTATATATCAAACCATGATAACATACCGGCCGTGTTTTCCTGTCAGTGGTATATGCATCACAAAAGGTGGGGTCCTCTCTTCACTCTGATAGACAACATCTTGGTCAAGTGTTGAGTCACTTAACATGCTGATAAGCAACCGGAAGTAACCCATACGCTCTGCACAGCCTGTTTCAAATAGGTACAATTTTTGAAGCAAAAATAATTATGTTTATCGTTATATGCTATTTCTGATTAAGATATTAAATGTTTCTAGTCGCCTAATTTAATACTCTCTCATAAAAAAATGGTACGTAAATTACAATGTATATTAAAAATAGTTTTAATCTCATAGCTTAAGTTATTGTTTAATAATATCTGCACATTTTACTTGGAGCAATGGTCAAATTCATTTCTCGGTTGTGGCTTATTATTAACATACAATTACATAAATGATTTTATGCATTTGTCGGAATATCATTTAAGCGCTTTGCTAATAATTGTTTATATTTGAGTGATGTTCTGCAAATCAAAACATTTAAGCGCTTTGCTAATTATTGTTTACATTTCAGTGATGTTCTGCAAATCAAAATAGTAATATCAGATTTTTTACATTCGGGTCCACGTCTGTAAATAACAACCTCTCGAATAGGATAGTTCCGGCCAAGGTCCACTTCCCACCATGGTTCAAAATCACCTTTTGTATGTGTTATACACTTGCTTCCATACACGTTGTTTTTACATCCATCAACTGCCTTATCAGGTGTGCTGAATTCCGAAAATGAACTGGACTGTTTTGTTGCCTTTCCAAATGCCAGGTTTGCTTTAATTCAAAGCAAAGTGTTTCATTACTTGAAATATCTTACTGACTCAATTTACCGTGAAATTTTCTCAGAACGACAAGTTTTATTGCTTATGCACAAAAAGGGTATCCTATAAATCAAATTATATTGTTGATAGTTTAAATGATCGTTTTCAATCTTTTGAGATGTTTTACCAAATAAAAGCTAAATACTTTACCTTTGGTGTGCTGGCCACACCAAAATACCAAAGATACGAAGATAATTATGTTTTTTGTTCGTTTGGTTTTTTTTATTGTTGTTGTTGTTTTTTGGAGCAGTTAGTGCTAAAGTGTTTACAAAAGTGTTGTTAAGATATACAGCGCCGTTAAAATTTTTATATTTATGCAGTAGAATATATATTTATATGGTTTACAAAATGTTACTACTCTTTAGGTAACTCAACATGTCTTACCATTGGATCGAGCTTTCTTCTCTTCCAGTGTCTCTAAAACAAAAAGCATACAGAGAGATCAATTTATAATGGTCTGAAGCTCAATGAGTTTATATTACGTATTAAAATGCCTCTGGGGTGAACTTGTTAACCTTAAAGACCAGTATAAAGCTAGATCTCTGGAGATAATAAAACCTTTTTTTAAGATCAGTCTCGAATCTCAGGAATTTCATTGGTAAATATACATTCTATGCTGGATTTTGACCATTCAAAAGCCTGAGATTTAAGTTTGAGTGCATGAAAATTCTTTATAACCTTGGACCCTAGGTCCGAGGTTATAAAGAAATTTTCCAAGCTCAAACTCAGATCTCAGGAATTTGATTTGTCAGAAACAGACACATCATAAACACTGACCTTCGAAAATCCTGTGATTTGAGACAGAACTCAGAAAAAAAATGTTTTATAACCTTGAGGCCAGCTCTATAGGTAGCTAAAATTTTGGATTTTTATACTGAAATTCCTTAAACTTTAAAACTATATTGATATTGCTTAAACTTTACTGCAACACCATGAGCTACATATGTCTTTATATTCAAAATTATTTTCCTTTTTAGGAAATTCTCACAGTAAATGAGTGTATGATAAAGGTGCTTGATGGCGTGGACGGCTTACGCGTACACGTACCAATTACCTCCATGAACAGACTCAATCAAACTGAGCCTTTTATTCTATCTTTTGCTTTTTGGGGGCGTTGTCTAGGTACTTGAATTCAATTTTTGTTTACTTTGAATGTAATACCGACCAAACAAAATCAGTAGTTATTGGTTCAGTGCTTTTTATTGTTCTATTAGAGAAAACCTTATTAAATATGCATTTTATGTTTTAGTTTCTTATAGTTATGTCTTTAGACGTTAAAACCGCTTTATGACAATATCTCAGTTTTTCAGATATATATAGCGCATTAATCAGAACTGTACATATAGAATGTTTAATTTCAAAACGTAATAAGGAACGTGTCCCTTAAAACTCAGGCTAAAAAAACTCTTTATCTTTATACCTAAATTTTTACTTACGAAGCTTAACTTGCAGGCTTATGCCTTATACGTGTAAAATGTTATATATGGTAAAGGCAAAACATATACTATTATAATAATGATAACATTACAATTGTATGAAAATCATGGTTGTACACGAAGTACCTTTCCGAAATCTCCAAAACCCCTGGTAAGTCCCTGACGCTTTTGTTACCGTGGCAATATAAACGGTTGAAACTGCAATACCGGCTTGATCTGTCCATGACATTAGTAAATTTCGTCCAACGTCTGATCCTCTTCCGAGCATTATTGTAACAGCGTTGCTATTCACGTTAGTCCAACTTATCCAAAACTCTCTATATTCATTCTCGTCACACAAGTTCGGAATGGAGATGAATTTGTCGACTTTCTTGGAACTAATTTTAGATACTGTTGATTTTGGAGATATGTTGCTACTTATTTCAATGACATATCCTTGTGTTGTTTGTGTATCAGAATTTGGCTTTAGTATTATTGTGGCACCGACATAGCCTTTGTATTCAAACTTAAACAGGTATGTTGTTACTGATCCGTCCTTTGATGGTTTTGTTAACTTGTCTGGCATTTGTACAGGACTCTCATTGGAACTTGTTTGATATTTGGTAAAAGGACCTAAACATAGTTAAGATTATATATGCAAACAAAATAAGATAGATAAATAAATGATAAACATTGATAACTATGATTTTGTAATAATGGTCATCAAATATACATTTTTTTGAAACTTGGTTTGTGAGTACCAATCTTTGCTTGAAATATACTGAACAAAGAAAAAGAAACTGCCCCTGTATTTGAGTGCAGATATACACAAATATGAAAATCAGGATTAAAGTAGATTTACGTGTATTGAAAGGGTATTTATTTCCGTATTTTGTAAAATAAAATATTGCTTTGGTTTATCTAAAAGTAGTGAAATGGTAGTTTAAATGCAGAAAAGGCTTGTCCAACAAAATCACAAATTGATATCGGGTATGGCCACATTCAGAATAAAGGACTGTCTCGCAGCGTTTGCTTATATAATGGTCAGCGTATCGATTTTGGCTTGTGTAATGTTGTTCCATTACTGAATTAAGCTTATCTTAGCTGAAAAACGTTTGACGGTGGAAAAGGGCAACGTCTAACACGCTGCTCTAAATTATCCAAAAGGTGTTCAATGGGGCTTTTGGCAAGCTAGTCATTGATCAATGCAATGTTATTCGCCCTGAGGAAATTCACAGTGTCTCTAACTATATGGCCTGTGGCAATATCATGTTGTAAAATGTAATTGGCAGTATTTTGAAACAGTGGGATAGCATGCCTTGCAAGAATTTCATCTCGGTAGCGTTGGACATTTAAATCCCCATCGATAACGACGAGATTATTCATGTGCAATGCCTGCCCAGACCAAGACAGAATCCCAACCCCAAAACGATCTTCTTCAAGTTATCGGCAAGACGTTCTTTTCTTCTACGGTGTACTCGAAATCTGCCATCAGTTCGATCAATAAAAACCTCAACTCGTCAGAGAGAGAGAAAAAAAACGCTATTTCATTATTGCCCAAGCCAGCGTTGGTGTGTACGTGCCCATTTAACACGATTTACGCGGTGACGTATGTCGACGTCCATTTAGTTCACCCTCGCGCATTGCAATTTCGCACAGTTTGGGCAGATATACGGTTGTTATGTTTACAAGGGTTGTTAACAGCAGTGGCTATGGCAGTATTGAAGTAATTGCGCACGCGGGTGTTCTGAATATAGCGGTCTTGGGCACGCGTCGTGACAGGTAGATGTCCACTATGTGGTCGATCTTCTGTACGTCCTCTTGCTTGAAAACGTTGCATAAGGTGCAGCGTAGCACACGTAGAGCATCCATTTTAATAGCGACGGCATTATTCGTCATACCATCATTTAGCATGACAATGCGTATATTTTGAGGAATACTAGGCATATCAAAAATTGGGAAAAAAATGATAAAAAATTCAAAGACTTTTTCTTATTGACATGAAAGTCTGATAAACTACACTGAAAGACAAGACAATCTGTTTTAAATCAGATCTAAATAACACTCCGCTTATAGAAAGAAATAAGTAGATCTGAATTTTTTGCCTAGGTCACAAAAATACGGCCGCCGCCCGATTTTACGATTTTCATAGCATCGGCGGCTTTGACGATTTCGCGAACACCGGGCAATTTTAAATCTGATATATTTCATGGTCATGGCGGGCAATTTGTTGCCGAATTGATGTTACAGAAAGCATTCAAAGACCGGGCGGTCGCTGCCCGATGTCCGGACGGCGTCTGTGCGATTTATGAATGGATCGGACAGTCGCTGCGTGGGCACCGGGTGGTAAAGGCTTGGCATTTAATGATATTCTTTTAAACATCAGTCAGTGGTCGATATGCCAGCAAAGAAAGCAGTTGATAGAGACAAGATGAAGGACAAGCAAATAGTGCAAAATTGTATTTTGCATTTACCTCAATGATAATAGAGGTTCTTGATCGACCATAAAGTTCTTGATATATTGACCACTGAAAGATGCGAATGATCAAAATTTTCAGCCTATTGTGACGTCGGCCGCAAGGACGCCGGTCGATATTACGATAAACAGACGCCGCCCGGCGGTCGTTTGTCATTTGTCCCTAAGGCATTAGTCAGATTGCACTGAAAAGTTTAAACAAAAAACAAACACAAATCTACTGGTCTGTGCATGCACGTGAAAATCGCGTTCAGCGGGTTTCTCTTACAAACCGGTTAAATCTATTAAAATTTTGTTTTATCTGGCACAAAACCGTTCACCTGAATATAAGTAGCTCATTTGAACTTTATAAACTATAAGCACATGGAAGTTTTTTTTTTTGTTCAGTATATATGTAATATTTAAATACAACCTCATACGTTTGCCTGATAAGTCCCAATTAAATTGTGTCAAATTTAAAGGCACATTATGCCTCAGAACTCTATATAATTTATTCTTTAACGATGCCAAACATGTGTGTCATAACGGTAGCAAAATGTAAACAAAGTAGTATTTTGACTTCCATACAAGATACCCATTCAGTATGTGTTTTACACATTGTCAACAGCAAATGAAATAAATGATAGTTTATTCTTATGACAAATAAGTATTGTTTTTGAAATTTTAACTAAATACGAAGAATAGAAAGATTTTGTGAAATTAAAAATGATTGTATTTCTGAGGCCAAATGGGCCTTCAAAGAATAGATTGTCTATGTAAAATACATGTATGCTGAAGACGAATATAATTATTAGGTGTAAACTGAAAATTTAGAAATATGCATACAAAATAAAAAAACAACACTTACCCAACTGAACACAACTGTAAACGTTCCTCTCAAAACAGCTTTTTATTTGAAAATTCCCTGATTTATTGCTAGCTACACACATTGCTTTAGTTGGCTTATCTATAAGTGACACTGTAGTAACAAAATAAAGATGGTATTCTTAAGTTTCACTTTTAACCAGTGGTTTATTAATAATACAGAAATTCTATAGTTTGACTAAAAGTTATATTGTAAAGATGATCAAAAAATTACTTTTATTAAGAATCAAATAAATATCTAAACTTTCATCATCAAATACATTATTAATATGTACAGCACATGTATCCGTTTTGCATTTGAATGAAATTTTTAAACCTGTTTCCTAGGTACTGCTTTTTCTTTAAATCAGTTCTAACACAATTCATCCTAAACAAATCCAGCACGTGTTGGCATAGTGTAAAAATCTTCTTGATAAACTCTAAGAAATCCTCGGTACTCTCCATTTAACTATTTGGAAAGGTTCTGACAATATCGCTTCTATGAGGGTAGATTGTTACCTTGTTCTTTTATCAGGTCTGTAACGGGGTCATCTGATGAAATCCAGTCATTTTGGTATACATCAAAGTAGACATTCAACCAAAACAATCCGTCTTGTGTGTTTAACAATTTGCCTGACATGAATGAAGATAGTGGGAAAAAATATAGAACATATAGTAATGGTCTTTGGATAATTTGCTTGAAATGAACGTAGAAATCGGTAAAGTTTGTTGGTTTAGTTTGCCTTACTCGTTGAAAACTCATTTATTTTAAAAATTTAAGACAATCGCAGTCGTTTGCTTATGAACAGGTAAACAAGCTCATTTCAATTAATTATTTTTTTGCTATACATTTAGTAAAAATATGTAAGTATGTAATTTCTTATATAAGAATAACCATGGGAACATAACATTTATTTTAAAGTTTCAAGTAAAATAGATAACACTGTAAAAATCTTTTAAAACAATATACCTGTCAACAAATCAATTTCCTCTTTTCCTTTCGGTAATGGAAGACTTGCTCCGATGCTTTCACATACAGCACTAGCATCAGCCCATGTTAACTGCTCATCACCTAACAGGTAGCAGAATCCCGTGTTTGTGTCTTCAACCCATCCTGATGCACATACTTAAAACAAAACCGAAAAGATCTCGTTGATTACAATAATTAGCTCCTTCACAAAAGAAACAGACATTCTTACCTTGTGATACCTTATAGGTAACTTTATTACTTCATCATTCCCTCGAGTTATGTTTTTCATTGTCGTCCGCTCCGGTATTGGTCTATTCTTAATAGATGTTATCCGGAAGTCGGAACATGTCGGGGTTTCCCAGCTTATCCGTAGGTACAAACCAATTTTTACCATTAAAACTTAACGATGCACTACCCGTCAAGATATCTTAATCAACCTGTTGCGCTTATTTTCGAAGCTGTAACTGTAAAAGTTTGTGTACCTACGGGTAAGCTGAAACAAATATCTTGATGCCGGAGTAGGTCCTTTGGAGTGGGGTTTTGTGACTGGAACTGAGTGAGTACTTATCAGTATATATATGAACAAAAAATGTAGAAATAAGAGAATTAAGTCAGTACGCGAATGCTGATTTATGGTCACATGTCAAAAGCCCTACATATATGATGAAGACATATTATCACAGCAATATAATATCACTCTATCTATAATGGTTATTTTTAGCTTACATGATTATGACATATATCTTTTATTTCATTCCATTTTTAGCATATATTACAGTGGGAATGGCCCTCAAAGAGGCGACTTGGGGAGGTTAACACTTGTTATTTTAAACTGATCGGTACAAATAAATATATCATGTTTTGTGGGGTGGGAGATAATATATTTTGCTTAAAAAAATTAAATGAATGATATGTAAATCAAATTAAGTAAAATTCATCTAGTGGGAAAATATATAAGCCCCTTTGTTGCTATAATTATAAAAAGAATATAAGTACATCTAACAAACTCACCGGACACCTTATCGTTTTCTTTTGTGGAAATCACACCAATATCACCTGTAAAATAATTATATATTTACATAAATATTTTGCATAAATTAGTGCAGATTTATTTTTGAATCTTCTTTTATAGCATATCCAATTATGATGTAACCTATTTTACAAAACGATTTACACAATTATTGACCACATTATCTACAGTAATTACAGAACCACTGTCAAGTTTCAGAAAGTCTGAGAACTGCATTTCCAAGAATGTCACTTGATGACAAGGTATAGATCTATTTGCTGTTAATAACAATTAGATATTGTGTTGTTAATTACATATGTAATTACTTTCTCTCAGGGTAAACAAAACCACGTACTTGTGCAGTGAGGGACAGGGCAAAACTCCCAGCGAGTATCTCTATCTGTTGTATAACACCAGGGTTGACCTTCACCCAATGGGTCTCTACAGAAATTTTCTGCGTCTTTTTCTGTCCCATCTGGAAATTTTTTGTCGTGGTACCCATGATTATGAGGTGTATCTAATTCCCACCTTTGACAATTTTTTCCGCTTACCGTGTGTCGAATTTTACCTGCCCATTTTGTTGAATCTATGATACAATTTGCTGTAATCAAAGAAAACAATACATATTATCAAAACAAAGAAGGGCAGGTAACTATAAAAAAGGAGAACGTCGACCCCTTTTTTGTTTCGCTTGAAATATCTCTGTTTTCCTATAATAAAACCATGAAAATTGAAAATAGATACTGTGAATCAGCTTTCGGTTCCTTCTATATTTCTACATGAAAAGGTGTAGCCAGTAATGGTTACATTGGTAATTTGTTATTCGAACTCATCTATGAGTAAAATATTATATTGATAGAAATTTATCGAAATCTTTGAAAAGTTTACTGAATGTGTCTAATTTAAATAAAATAAAGAATAAACTATGTATGAGAGGCTGCGTTTCGTCTTATGTGACAAGTGAAGTTGGTCCTTTCTTTAAAGCACTGTTTGATGACACTGTATATTCATATAGTGAGTAGAATTTTAAACATCACATATCTACTTTGTGTGAAGTCGTGTAAACGTGTTTATTTTTTTATTTACAAAGAGCCTGTGTAGCAATTATCAATATCTTACAATATCAAATTTGACCAAAGTATATCTTTAATCTATCGGGTATATTATATATCATTGATTTAAAATGAGAAAATATCAAAGAAGAAATTACACTTACAGTTTTCTGCACCTAGCGATCTTCGTAAACTTATTCCTAAAATCATAAACAAAATATAATTGATTTTCTCAAGTAACTCATAACAATATTCAGACGATTATCTGTCGAAATAAGAACGGTATTCTTTTAAGAGAGTACAATGTAATCAACTTTTTTGACACATCATAGAAATAGTATTAAAATTACAAATTTGTCAAATTATGATTTGAGCACTCCAATCTAGATTTAAATTTAAATTCGATGCTCTCCCTGTTGATGTAAGTGATTTTCCAAAATTCTATACTCGCCACTTACATTCGAATGCACTCAATTTTACTTTCGGCAAACACGATACAAATAACATACCTTCAAACACTTCCACCTCGCACAGTTCTAGCCTTGCTGATGTTTTAGGTATATCTATTCTCACATATCTAAATATAATTTGAATTTGTTTTTTAATATCGTGCTTTATTGATGTTTTCATGACATAAGTTTATTTTTTAAAATGAGAACACTTTATATGAAAATATAAATATATAGAGTATTCACGTATCTACGGTGTCCCATTTGGGCCATTGCGACACACACATTACTCAAAACAACGAAAGCAGGTGAACAGTCAAAATACCGATAAGATCGGAGGTACGATGATAAAAAGTCATTGGTACGAGAGTGAAAAGTCGTAATTATAACGTAGCCACAATGATGAAAACTCGATCTAAGTACGTGTTATCTCTATCGTACTTTCGACCTTAAACTTTAAGGGCTGGCTGCTGAAGCAGTTGAGACAGTCCTATTGTTGATTCAAATCATTGACATATATTAGAAATATATGTAACTAAATAATTTGCCATACATTATAATCTTAATCAATAAGTTCTGCTAATATAGCATAACTATAGATAGTTTTCCTAATAAATAAATAAAAAACATATACCTTGTCGTGAAATACACGATTACTTTTACTTATGCCGAAGTATTTAATTTGTTTTAAATATAAGTTTTAATTGCATATATATATGCTCCTCGCCATGATATTTTCACTTTTATTGCTTTTCATGTACTGTAACTATTTTGGCGGTAAAAAAGCCTACATATACACGCCCTTTAACAGCTTTTAGTAAGACTCAGAAAATCCAGGAAGGATTACAGTTATTTAAATTTACGAGGTGTGTTATCTTACATCATACTTAGTTGTTATAAGTATTTATTAGCTTGATAAAAAGTTTGGAATTAAAATAAATTATTTATTTTTTAAAATGAAACTAAAAGTGTTGTGTTCAATGTTTGTGTAAAACCTAAATATTTACCACATACCTTCCATTTATTACATTTTTCAGATCGATGATAATTATAGCTGGAACATGCTCCCTCTTTTCCTGATAGATCACATTTGTTTTGGCTGTAACACCGTCTTTTGTGGTGCTTATGAATAGACGGAAATCTTTAATCTGGGAAATGCAGTCAGTACCTGTACAGTGGCAAAACATAGAAGTTTGGATTAAACACAATACAGGACTGAAGAAGGACCTCTTGCAGAAATCATGATCAATCAATAGACAAATATCGTTTTTTCGCCGATTCTTATGATTTTCATTCATTATAATACATAAATCGGTGTGATAAGATAAATAAGACATTTTTAAGTTCATTCCATTGGATGAAAAGGTAAGATTTAAGTAGCTCCCTGTCCGGTATATACCAGAATACGGTATTTACTGTGGTGCTCCAATCTTTTAATCTTTTTCATTACCAAAATTACACAAACTCGATATCCATAAACTTTTAGAATGACATATTGAACAGTTTATCGATATACTGTATGTGCTATTTTGGTAATGAAAAAGATTAAGAAATAATGAAAGGTTAATTGTTGACCTTTTATTATTTATATGCAATTGTCTTGTGTTTTCAATAAAATATAATTAAAGATGCATCATAAAATTACATTTGTAAAGCATCTTCTTTATTTCTCATAATGTCAGCTAATGTATAGCCTATGTACCAGCCTCTTTATACAATTAGCGTGTATTGAAAATATCTAAAACTTCAAAAGGATATTACAAATTAAAAACAATTCCTACAAAATATTACAGATCTTTGGTGGCTGATCTGTGCCATTTCGTGTTTTCGCCCCGTCCTCCCGCCAAGCGAAAAGTTTAGAATTTACAAGTAAAATGGCCAGGCGCGTAGAGAAAATACGCTTATTTTCGGTGAAGTGTGAGCGAAAAGTTGAGTTTTAATTGTAATGCGGAGGGCCGCGAGGCGAAATATTTATTTTTGAAGGGCGCTAATTAGCGTGCTATTGTTCTAGCCTCCACCAAATAATTCTTAAAAAGCTCGAGTTTTTGCTCCGCGCCCTTGCTAATTAGCGTGTGTTTGCTCCTAACCGCAGCCGTTTTAATAGTTAAAATCTATACTGTTCGCCCCGCGTTAATGCCAAGCAAAACGTCGAGTATTAACAAGTCAAATTGGCGATGGAGCGGAGCAAAAACATGGGGGCACATAGCGAGATTAAACAATTAAAACGTCGCCCCGCGGAGGCGTAGAACGGGTATTTAAGAAATGAAACGGCGAAAACACACTCATAAGCCGGAGCGGGGGGCGTGGAACGAAAACACTCAAATAAACGGGGTCGCAGGACCGCCGAGCAAAAGGTCGAGCTAATTACCGTCCTATTACAATAAATATTTCGTTTCGCGGCCCCGTCGTTTTGAAATTAAATATCGACTTTTTCGCCCCACCACCCGCTAATCAGTCCATTTTGCTCCGCGCCCCCGCTATTTTAACTTGTTATGTCTCGACTTTTCGCTTGGCGTGCTCGCAGGACGGGGGGGGGGCTAACACGAATGGCACAAATCAGCTAACATACAGATCCATGATTTGAAAGTCCTTACACCTCTCCGATGACCTTCGGTGAATAACGACCTTGCCAATAGGATAAACTGTTCCTAGGTCAATCATCCACCAAGGGTAATTTTCAGTGTCAGAACGGGCGCAACACGCATTTGATTGAACAGAACGTGTTTTACATCCATCTATTGCCTTCTGTGCGACGTCATCGCTATCAGTGTCAGTACCATAACTGCTGTACATATAGCTATCGTAATTGTAATGGTATCCACTCATTCTCTCTTGTCTCAGAGACGACTGACTTGCTATCTTGCCGAGAGCAATATTCCATTCTGCAATTGACATACGAAAAATTCTGTGCAATTATACTTACTCCGGAACTAAGCATGATTTGGAGTTTCCCAGCTAAGCCGGAGGTACAAACAAACTTGTACAGTTACAACAGGTTGAATGCCATCTGTTGTGAACTACAATGAACCAAAAAAGCTACAACGGCGGTAAAAGATTGCTTATACGAGTTGGGGTGCTTGGAACTGAGTAATAAAGGTTGTAGTGTCAATAATGCGCAGTGAGGAAGATAAAAATATATAATGTAATAGATATGTAACTTCACTTGCACAGTAGCTTGATCTTAAGTTTTGTCTTAAGTCTTAACTGTTATCATAAAAAATCCTACAGCCACAAAGATCGCACTTTGATGGACAAATATAAAAGTACTTTTTTAAAACTGTTTCCTGGCCATACAAATGCTCAAGATTGATTTTTTTCCTTTTACTTTATGCATGAGCCCTTGTAAAATAAATTATTATACGCTGGTCCATTAACCTGAAACATATCGGTTGTTTATTATTGAATACAGAACTAATTCGGTTATGACAATCTACCGTTAAGAAAATATGTACCTGCTGGTATTTGACAAGCAAATCTTGCTTTATGACTGCATGGATAATCTGACCATTTGCCGTGATCTTCCTTACCAGGGCTATAAAGCATCGAAACACAGTTCTCTGAATACTGACCCCCTATTTCTACATTATTAGGTTGACTGTTCAACCAGTAGTGCCATTCTATCTAAAAAAAAGTAAAGTAATGTGATTGAAAAGAAGCATACTATATGTATAAGTAAGTTAGCAAAAGTAAGTAAGTAAGCCCGCATAGCTCAATCGGTTGGGACGCGAGACTTGTTATCTCGACATTTTGGGTTCGATTCCTATTATTAATAGGTCTTTCGGATGAGACTTTAAATCGTGGCACGTGGAAGATGACATACTCTTTGGAGGACTCGCCCATATGGGCAACCGGTTGTGAGTATAATCAAACACAAATACACACAAACAAGGTAAGTAAGTTTTTTTTTATTTTTCATTTTCAGTTTTAAAGGTGTTACTCGGTATTTCATGAACCGCTTCCGTTTTGACTCGGAGCACCCCGGCGATTATTATTAAGCCGAAAAGTTGCGATTGTTCCGTAATCGCAATACCCAGCCAATTATCATTGAGTTTCACTGAAATTGGCGGCGCCCAATTAGACATGAAACTAAAAATTTCACTGAAAAAAAATCTCTGTATTAGTTTTGTAAGGGTTTTGTATTTGATTTCCTTTTAAATATATACATGTAATCTATAGCCGGCGGACCCGGCCTCTGTCTTCCCCGTATACCAAGTTAGGTGGTTCTAATTGATGCGAGAACAATATTTACAAAGGGTTATCAACGATTAACTCTCTATATAGAGTCTGGTAAAAAGTTGGGTTAATCATTATTATTTTCATAAATTCGACTTCGCATATATGCAGTAACATTGTCTTTAGACATTACGAGTATATATATTTATGATACGATCAAGGTGTTGAAATGCCGTGCAATAGTAACGATAATACTTGGAAATTATTATGAATCACCGTTAGAATCATCCTTGTTTAAAGTTAAACACAAGTTGACTTAAATTATACAATAAAAAACAACGAAAGGGAATACAAATGAAACTTAAACAAAAACAGAAATCGTTAACTAATCAAAATGACTTTCAATTTGATCACATATAGTAAAGATTACCTGAGCTGAAGAGTCAAGCCAGTTGTATGTTCCTTCTTTCAGTCTATCATTCAAACCAATCCACGATTCACTTTGGATTAAACCTGTTGACATTCATTTACAATATTTTATTTGTATGATATTTAAAACAATCAGTAAAATAATCAGAAAATACAGTAAATAGCATACAATATAAGGTCGTAAGTCGTAAAATGTAAGTTGGTAAGTTTGAATGTAAGTTTTTGTGTCGTAAAATGTTAGGTGGTAAGTCGTAAAATGTAAAGTGGTAAGTTATAAAATTTAAGTTAAAATTACGCTCATACGTAGTGATCTCCCCATATCAGTTCAATCTGCCAAGGGAGGTTATCACTTTGAGGAGTTTGTAAATACTGTAAACTGTAAGTTGGTATATCGTAAAGTGTAAAGTCGTAAGTCGTAAAATTAAAAGGTGGTATGTCTTAAATTGTAAGGTGGTATGTCATTAAAAGTGAGCTGGTTTGTCATTAAAAGTAAGGTGGTATATTATAAAAGGTAAGGTGGTATGTCATAAAAGGTAAGGTGGTATGTCATATAAGGTAAGGTGGTCTGTCATAAAAAGTAAGGTGGTATATCATTAAAGGTAAGGTGGTATATCATAAAAGGTAAGGTGGTATGTCATAAAAGGTAAGGTGGTATGTCGTAAAAGGTAAGGTGGTATGTCGTAAAAGGTAAGGTGGTATATCATAAAAGGTGAATTGGTATATCATAAAAGGTAAGGTGGTATGTCATAAAAGGTAAGGTGGTATGTCATAAACGGTAAGGTGGTATGTCGTAAAAGGTGAGGTGGTATGTCATAAAAGGTAAGGTGGTTTGTCATAAAAAGTAAGGTGGTATGTCGTAAAATGTAAGATGGTATGCTGTAAAATTTAAGATGATATGTCGTAAAATGTAAAGTCGTAATATGCATAGTGGTAAGTCGTGAAATGTAAGTTGGTATGTCGTTAAGGTCGTAAAATGTAAAGCGGTAAGTCATAAAATGTAAGGTGGTAAGTATATGGTGAGACAGACATTCATTGCGTTTATACTAATCATTATCTGATAAGATTTAGAATTGAGCTATCTATTACATTGTTTTTACATTTATGCACTGACAAATGTTGAACATTAGTTAGATAATTTGAAAAGATATTCAATAAATATGAAGAACGACATGAAATAGTTTACCTGAAACATAATCCTGATCTTCCTTTGATAGTATTGTAACAAGGTCAGCTCCTTCGCCAGCACATGTTTCTCGTGCAGTAAACCAATCAACTGGGTCATCGGCATTCCAATGGTAACAATTGATACCATGTAATGTGTAACCTTCAGGGCATTCGTACCGGGCTGAAATGTTTAACAGTATATGAAAATAAAACATAAACACATGGGATTATCTTTTAAATCCATCAATATTACTCAGTATGAAATGTATCCTGTGAAATATGAAATAGATCTTACTGACAAAACAATATCTATTTCTTGGTTTGGTGTATTAATTTTTAAGTTATTATCTATGATTAATGTATGCAACTGTAATAATTTTGTTTTTAATTTAAGCCGTGAATAAAACTTAGGATATATTTAACGAAGGTAAAAGAGAAACTGCGTATAGTTGAATAAAGACGTTAGATGTAATGTGAATTACGTTTTTCAAGCGGAGGAATAACTACTGGTGTGTCAACAGGAACGGTGCATATAGTGCCTCTGCTATCTCCACAGTCGCTAAACTGCCAACTACTTCCATCTGATTATAATAAAAATATATATTGTTTGCCTACAACTATAAAAATATTTTATTACATAATCACAAGTTCTCACAAATATACATTTATATCAACAACATTTTCATAATTATATACTAAACCAATTCAGAAACGCAATGGTTGAAAACTTACAAATATATTTATGTTTCTAGCTGAAAATTTCATTGAAAAGTAATCAATGAAAACAACAACTACACTCATTATAATAATGATAATAAGAAAGATAATAAGTACAAGAATAATAGTTAACTTATTATAATAATAATGAACGTATAGTCTTTAATATAACATAGCAGCAACCATGTCCAACTCAAACTAAATAAGCGTGCGAGAGAGAGAGAGAGAGAGAGAGAGAGAGAGAGAGAGAGAGAGAGAGAGAATACAGAATCTTTACTACTTTCGAGACAATGTGGGAAGGACCAGATCTCTAGTGTTGTTGAAACTTGTGGTCCGACTCTTTTGTTATCTTATGTTTGCATTGTTTATGTTTTGTATAGAAAGAAAATAAAAAGCAATAAAATATTATTAAAGACTATAATAGTTTCTGTAAATTTGCATATGCATGTTCACAAAGACTAATAAGGATACAAATCAATTCACACTTATTTTAATACACTTCTTATTCACTTTTCTCAACAGCCCCCTACAAGAGTCCCATTTCCCACTCCAAAAAAGTCTTATCAAAACCAAACACATTTAATATTATTACTTTTACTTATACCTTTAAGATATCAAGCCATCAGCTGTGCCATGACAAAACCAACATAATGCGTTTGCTACCAGCGTGTATCCAGACTAGCCTGCGCATCCGCGCAGTCTGATCAGGATCCTTGCTGTTCGCTTACAAACCCTAAAACAAGTAGAGAAACTGATAGCGAACAGCATGGATCCTAATCAGGCTGAACCATGCTTGTCGCAAAGGAATTATGTTGGTTTTGTCATGGCGCGGCTCATATTTTCTTTGTACAAGGTAGTTTGCAAACTTACCGCCAGTGCTTGATATTTTATTTCGATCTATCAAACCGCACTTTGTTTGATTCTGAGACTGGTCAAGCTTTCCGCTTGACTTTCCCTTTTCGAAATTACCAAATGCTTCACCACTGTCCCATTTAAGATTATCCAAATCCGTACCTTTGAAAAAATAAACAGAGTTATAATCAATGGTAAGGGAAAGTAAACATTTTATTTTCATTTAGTCAGTATGCCTCAGTTTGTTGGGTTTGTGTTTTTATGTTGACGTGTTTTTTTTTTAAATATTGTGTACCAGCAAAATCTTTTTCTGTCTACAGATCAGGCATTATTGTCGTTTTTATAAAGTAATAAAAAGTTAGAAACTCTGACTAAATTGTTTGTTGTTAGATCTGCATAAAGACCTACCTTACAAAAACTTTTTAAAACATTTTGTATGACAAAAAATATGTTATTGTTAATTGCTAAGCCTACATTAAAAACATTTTGTACTCTATTACGAACAGTTTATTGTTAAAATGTCTTACAATATTAACACCTATATAATGTAATAATGGCTATAGGCTATATGTAGTTTAATGTCACTTTAAATATTGAATTTAATTGAATTTTCCAGTGATAATGTAATTTCAATACTAACTGTTTCTGGAATGTGTTGCCTATAAAGTTAAACGGTGGAGATAATAAACGTACATATCACACGTTTTTGGTGCAATGCAGCTTCTTTCCGATAATTGCACCATATTCAACGGTTTCGAAGATAATTATGTTAAAGTACTATAAAAATGACAAATTCAAGTCCGTATTACTGCCGAGTCTTTATTACAAGTAGTTGGCTTCAGTACAAATTCTCTTGGCTTGCCTTTTTTTAAATAATAAGACTGGTCAAAATCAAAACAAAAATAAAGCTTATAAATTATAGTCTGTGTAAACATATACGTAATTATATCTCCATTTAAAAAATACAACTTGGACGGCTGAAAACGTAAAAGATACTGTTTATTACATTTAACTGGCAAAGAACTGCCACAACAATGAAGTTATTTTCATGTTATTTAATATATGCTTTAAAGTAACATTATGCCATCTAAAGGTATATAGTGAGTGAACAGGGGAGAGTCAAAATAAATTTTCATTTTGCCATAATTCCTTTTGATTTAATAATTTACCTCCCATTTACAATAAATAACCCCCAGATCCAAAGGAAATTTCTATATATATCATCTAGAATTTACCTGTAACGTTCAATTTATAAAAACAAGTGGGCAGATTTTGAATTTTATAATAAACATTTTCCAATATAAACTAAAGTCAATTCAGCTCAACTTGACTATGGAAATATGAGCATAACTTTAAACTTACAATCTTTATGGAATATCGACAAAAGTCATTGAATGAAGAAATGTATTCGCCACATGAAAATCGTTATGTTTCTGGACAACTGACTTGTTCTACAGATAAAGAGATTTAAAAAAAATATTGGTGTGACAATATTGTATAACGTATTTCCTACGATTTCGAAAACTAAATCCCGGAAAAAACTACCTCTAAGAATAAACGGAAGGAAGCTCATAGAAATAGTTCACTACATACGCTCATACCTGATAAGCCTAGCCATACAGATTGTATTTCGGTCAGGCTATAATGTTCTTTCAGCAATGTCAAAACATAATACCATTCGTTTTCACTGAAAATTGAACAGGACTACATTGAGATAAAATGTAACTATTTTAAACTTATCGAAATGTTATGTATTGTAAAATGTGACTAAATTTAGATAAAATTTAACTATTTTTAGCTTATCAAAATAATATGTATTTTAAAATGTGATTATATTCAGAAAAATAAATGTAACTGTTTTTAGCTTATCGAAATGTTATGTATTGTAAAATGTGATTATATTTATATAAATGTAACTATTTTTAGCTTATCGAAATGATATGTATTTTAAATTGTAACTATATTAATATAAAATGTAACTATTTTTTAACAAATGATATGTATTGAAAATGTTAATTTAGAAAAATTAACTTAAGCTTAGAAATGATGTTTTGAAATTGAACTTTTTTAAGAAAAATTTAAAAATATTTTATTATCAAATATAGTATTTAAAAATTGGGAAATTTTTAAGAAAAAATTGTAACTTTTTAGTTACAAAAATAATTATTGTAAAAAGGTTTTTAATAAAAATTAAACTAATTACCGAAATTATTGATAAAAATGTAAAAAAATGAAATATTTTTAAAATTTATCGAAAATTATTATTTGGGTTTTTAGGAACTAAAATTTTTAATCAAAAAGGTAATGTGAATTTTTTTAGCGAGCCAAACAAACAACAACTATTACATTTAAAAAAATGATATAAAATAATGAAGATTTTTAACTACAAAAGCGATAACTTTTAGGAACAGGGGCTAAATACATACTCTTTTATTTCGAGTAATTGTGTTGCTCTAAGATTACAAAATCCTCTGGCTTCGTTCCAAGTTTTAAATTCATTTGTTGTAAAACGTAGCACATTGTTTTTAGGGTTAAATTTGAAGCCCCCTGGAAAAGGGCCCCCTGTAAATAAATATAAGTTAAAAAGAATGTTTTTATTTTAACTTATTCCGTAACATCAAAAAAAAATTTAAGATTTTTTCCCTTTTAATTTAAAAATTAAAATAAAAAAAACGTAAAATATTTTTTAAAGTTTTTTAAAATTTAAAAAAAAATAAAAACCTAAAAAAAGGGAAAAGTCTTTTCAAAAAAATCGTCCATTTTAAACCTTTTTCCCGTAGAGCGTTTACCTCTTGCAAAAACAGGGGATTATCTTTTTATTAAAGGGATTTCAAAAAAAATTTTTAACCCCTTCTAAAAAACAACCCCCCTTCTTTAACAACCAAAATATTTTTTTTCCCCAGGGGGTGTGTTGCCCTGCGGGAATTTTTTAACTGTAGTTCTTTACTAAAGAAATTATAGAAAAAATCGTTAAAAATGTAAGAAAAACTAAAATTTTTCCCTTTGAAAAAAGACAAAATATATTACTCCAAAGAACGGGGTTTAAATTCTTAATCCCTTTTGTTTTTTCCGCACAGAAGGGAAAATTTTTCCGGCAGGGGCAGTTTTCAGGTTTCCAGTTCTTAATACCTGGCATATTTGTGTCGATCACAGAACACAATGTATCGTTATGTATAATTCTGAGTATATGGAAAGAAATATGCATCATTAGATAAAATAGAATAAAACAACTCAATGACATAGAAAAAATATTGTGAAGACTGTAAAACGTGCTTTTAAGATAGCACCGACATAATTTTGTAGATTTACTTAGCAAATAGATAGAATCTATCAATTTTGAGTGCATTATAGCAAAATAATGCACGGTTCCATTTCAAATGCGCAATATTACAACCACGAAGGCCGATATGCCTGATTGATTAATTACAAAGAATTTAAACCATAAACGTGTATTATCATACTAGTATACTGCAAGAATAAAAATCTATTTCTATTCTAACATGCTGATATAACGGGGAATTGATGAATATATGCTTAAATTCATTGAGCGTAGAAGTAATTTTCCTGACGTCGTTTAGTTTATTGACGTCGTATATGAAGTCATATGACGTGTAAGCATCGTCTTTTATTCTAAGCATATTTCGTGTAATAATGCACTCTACTGTCCTGTCTGTTTGATAGGGAAATAGTGTGAAGAGTGTTGGAAAAGTTATATTTACGTTTTTAACAATACGTTGTTTGCTCTGTTATATACCAAGAAATGAATGATTATATTCCTACGCATTTGAACTCGAACCTTGCATTTTTCTACAACAATGCACTCAAAATTGATATCTACCGGTATTTCCGAAATAGCGAACGTGAGGATTCAGCACTGTAAAGCAAAGTGTCATAAAAGCATGTACGAATATGCCTTGCTCTCTACTAATTAATTTTATATTAAGAAGCCATCATAGATCTTTCTATTGTTTACAGGCTTATGCAAATTGTCTGATGAGCCATCCAATTAATATTTGTTACATTTTGTGCGTCGCGCTGTCGCTGGCGAAAACACGACAACATCACGATATCGCCTCGTCGTCTTGTCGTCATGTCACAATCGAAACACTCAAAGGCACCGCGAGGTCGAAAACAAAATCTGAAATTTTTGATGACGTGGAAACTTCACAAAACGTCTGCGTTCGGACTGCGCTTTTACTGCGTTCTTTGCGCTTCCATTGCGCTTTCACGGCGGTCACAATGCGCTGGAATCGTAAAGCAACTTACATACGCAGTATAAGTGCGGTAGAGACGCCTCACAATCTCCGTACAAGAACCGTCGATAACCACGGCTTTCATTCGGCAATCCTTTTGCGCTTTCACCGCGCTCCTGTTACGTTGAAGGAGATGCTACTGAGTTGCTACGGCGTCCTTCAACTCCTGTCACACTAGGGTGGTGTTCTTTCGGCGTCGAAAGAAAATTCAGAACGCCGAAAAACAGCATCGTAGTAGCATCGCATAGAGCGACGACCGACGGCGCGCATTTTAAGCATGCTCAAAACTAACGCCGTTATTCGGCGGTGGGATCGCAGAAAGGATGCCTTAGAAAATCGGTAGCAGCTCCTACAATGCAATAGAAGCGCCTAAAAAGCGCAAATGGAACGCCGAATGAACGCGGTGGTTATTAACGGCGCTTGTACGGAGATTGTGCGGCGACTCTACCGCGCTTATACTGTGTATGCGCTGAGATTTTACGAATCTTTACAATTTCAGTGCAGTGTGATGGTCGCGAGAATTCCGTGTGACAGGGGTTTTATTGGTTTTACGCAGTTTTATACAAAAGAGCACGTGACTTTTGATTGTGATACTGTTCATGAGCAGTTGAACAAGCTATAAATAGAAAAATCGTAACTAAATTTTTTACTGCTAAATTTTTTATTTATAAAGTTATTTTCTTACTTACCTATCTTTGTCGGGAACATCGTCAGTCCACCATTGGGAGTTCGCCTCAACTCCTAACAGGCTGACCCACATTGACCTACTCTATCGAACAAACGAAATCACAAAATACAAAAATGAAATATTTAAATATAATAAAGTCAAAAAAATAAAAATTGGGAAGCAGTGCACACTTTTAGATATCTCTCACAAACAAGTATTATCATCACATGCTAAAAAACGTAAGGAAATTAATAAAATGTTAACTCACGGATACATTTTTCATCCACAACATAACTTATAATATGTATAATATAATATATTTTATAATATGTTAAAACATCCTATGTATTACCGTGTCATATTGGAATCCATTCCATACCCTTCCATTGCTTTCATGTGCAAGAAAGTCTGTAATATTTTGTTGAGTAGTTTCCGCATTTATTGATATTAAATTCGCTTGATCATTAGCACATGTGGAACTAAAATTAAGAAAAGAAAACTAAACATACAAACACGTATGTGTTTAAGAAATTTAACACTAATGTTAGTAAAAAGCGTGTAAGTCTTGTACTTTAAATATATACATATAGCATTTGGACAAGTCAAAGCCATTTAAAAGATTCGAGGACGTTACAATTTGCAAGTAAAATGTAATCTTTGAATCGTTTCATTTTTCTTTTTGAGTTGTAAAATACGACTGGCATACGTATTGCTTATTGTGGAGAGAGTTAATAATGTTTTCAACAGTTAAAGTGACATTATGCTAATTTTGTTTCGGTGTTCAGTGTCAAGTTGAATTGAATTATTAATATTTTTCAAGGGATTTACCATTATAATAGTGATTGGCCAGTAATTGATAATAAGATGATAAGGATATAAAATTATGGAAACTAACTAAATAATGAAAGAACTGCATTGCTCTTTTCAAAAATTGAACGTTACCGAGACTTTCGAAACGCTATTTATGGAACATTTCTGTGAATTAATGATCATTTTTGCATGGGCAATCTTAATATGAAAATTGAAAATAATTCTGGCAAAACGTAAAGTGCTGTTGTTTTTTTACTTTTACCTAAACACACACCATTTATGCTTGGTTGAACATAATGTCACTTAGACATTTTGTTTTACCAATTGTCTGAAGTATTTATAATAAATGTGAACTAAGTTGGAACAAAAAATCTGTTTAATAGATATAAATATGTTGAGTGTATTGCTGTTAAAATTTTGCCATGAAAATTGATCAGCGGAGAATATTAATTAACTGTAATTTTCTTACGCTGCATCATTTAATGTAACCTTATCGCTAAAGTATTTATAACAGAACTGAGTGTCTAAATCATCCCATCCGTTGTCTAAATCACATTTCATTGGTAGATCTAAAAATAGAACAATTATTTTTACGTCAGCAAAATACAATTACAAATGTGTCATAATTAGAAATAAATTTCGCATCAGAAACCTTAACTTTCTTAAACTAAATGCAATTAGCCTTTGCCACCAACCAAGTCCGTTTATCAATGCCGTGTACACGTGACAAGGCTATACACTTTTGGTAGCTTCATCTAATGTTTTGATATTGAAATACCTCAAGTAATCTTTGAATGAAATGTTTCAAGTTCTAAGTGGGGCAAACCCGTTACTCAAATTCAGCAAGTACATTGTTTAAGTCACCAGTCTGAAGCGACGAACAAAGGAAAATAAGTATAAATAATTCAAAATTTATGTCATAGAATGAAACATATATTAAAATCATTTAACTTAGATAATATTGAACGCTTCTATAAAAAAACTGATTTATTACACTTTTGCGTGTTGCGTTGCGTCGCGTTGCAACACAACAAACATCGTTTTCGCCTTTTCGTCTTGTCGTTGCAAACTGCGCGTTATCGTGCAGTGCGTTGTCGCCCTGTCGCTTGGCTTATATCGAAGTGGTTGGCTTTCTATTGTGCTGTCACATGACTCGATTTCACGAGCATCAACGCGCAAAAAAGCCATTTTTTCTATTTGAGCCAAGCGAAAATGTGTCATCGCGACAACACGCCGTGAGAAAATGCGCAGTTTGGCATAGAGACAGGACGACAAGACGACAAGGCGATAACGCTTGGCGCTTTGTCGTGTTGCCGCCAGAGACAACGCGACGCGCAAAAAATCAGGCACCATAAGTTACAGCATAATTGATACATTTTTTTGTTTTTAAAAAAACGCCGCTTGTATTGAAAAAAATAAATCTTCTTAAATGTCTTAAAAACAAATACAATGATGAAACAAATAAGAATTATCTGAACAATATTTAGAATTGAAATGATAATAGAAATTAAAAATGGTTTTAAATAATAAATAATATGGTGATGTTTATTTAAATTGATAAACCTTTCGGTCGTTCGCAAATGAACTGGAGCGGTTGTTCACAATTCTTATCATTAAGGAGGTTGTCCCAAATCTCCGCGCAATGTTCCGAATCTCTGTAATTGTTTGGCTCGCCAGAACCCCATTGTCTACAAATAAACATGAAACAAATTCACTGGTATGATACTACGTTATCGCGCACCTGCAAAATTCTTCCAATCGGACTGTTTTTGATTGTTTTTTTGTTGCCTTTTAGTCCTGAAAACAGGATAAGGTTTTTTTCCTAAATGCTCCCTTCTGGAGTCCCAAACAATATTTATCCCGTTTTCAGGCTTAAACTAGACAGTAAAACTTTAAAAGTTTTTAAAAATTATATCAAGTACTCTTAAGTCTGTCATTGGTGCGCTACATTTTTTTTGATATTCTAATAATTTCTTCGAGTCGACTAAAAAACAACAGTCCATTTTGCAGGTGCTCAAAGACGTAGTATCCTACCATTGATATAATTGATAGAAAATTTTAGTGAACACATTAAGATAGATGTTGTTGCTTAAAATTTTCTATCAAAATATCAAGAACGTGGATAAGAATTTTGAAGTAAATAATTAAAACACCAATTATGGTAAAATTGGTATCATTATGTATATATTTCACAATTAATCTCAACATTTGTGTTCTTTTTTCCCTACGGCACTGTACGATTCCGTGTCGATTTAAACAACATTAATTCCAATATTTTAATTTCAGTTCACTCAGCATTTGTTGGTTTCAACTGATATCCAGTACAATAGAAGTTTGTGTTAAAAACATTGGGTAAGTTTGTTTGTACTTTATTTGATACAGTAAGCCTCTGCTTTGAAAGTCATTTTGAAATACAATGTATTCACAAAAGATGCTAAAATCACTTTGATTTAAGATGGATTTCAAGCAGCATGCCTCCAGATTCAAGCTTAGTTTCGTTGTTTCTTTTAAGAGTTTTAGAAGTAAAACGATGAAAATAATTTACACAGTGCAAACACAACTTGCATTCCACGTAATTTACCGAAAGAGGTAAAAAGGCAAATATAACCCTTAATGCATTAGTAAGGCAGTAAATATATGATGCTAAATGCTGCAAAACCAGTCATTTATCGCACATAACATGTACATTATTGCTTTAATCTCGAATCCATTTACTTTCCTTAAATTTTAGAACATTTTTTTCTCAAGTTAAACTTTCTTGAAATAGTTTGGCTCGTCTGGAGGCATACAGCTTTACAGGGTGTTAAATATATCAAACATTAATTTTCTCACATGAAGCTTTCGTTCCTTTCATTTCCATCTGTCCAAACCCAGATCGTGTTGTTATCAGGACTTCTCTGTAGTCCTATCCACCATTCATAATCATCCGGGAACTTCTCAGTCATAGCAATTATCCAACGCTGATCGAAAAAATGATACAGATGCGAACAAAAATTTAGTCGTCGGGGATTTATTATGCAAATTATACGGAAACCTGGATGGGACATCATCTCTTCATTCCGGTGCCCTATACAGGCTTCCGTAATATTAACACTTCCTATTATCGTAAAAAAATAGGTTCAAGTTAAAAAAATATAGACTCTAAGAAAAGTACAGTGACCGGAAGCAACACGTGCTTGTGATCGCAAGACTGGGTACACATTGATTTGTATAGGTTACAGGATGCAATTATTTAGTTTTTACACTGTGATAATGTTACTTGTCAAATGTGGAGTTACAAAAGCAAAATTGAAGAAATATTCATAAAAACAGCTATTCAATTGTAATGAAGAATCAATGACTAGAAAAGCATGTAAGATATATGTTTATCTGTAACAATCCTCAGTTGCTAAGTCTACAAATATTTTTTTTTAATCTAACCTTTTCATGTTTAGAATTCAGTTTCAGAAGGTCTCCATCACGTGCTTGACAAGTTTCACGTGCGTCTTTCCATGATTTAAGTCTCGTTGACCAGAAACGGTAGCACGACTTGCTATCAGGTCTTTCAATCCAACCTAAAGGACATCTAGTAGAAACTGCAGCTGTTACTGAAAATATGCATTGAGTTTTCTTATTGTGTTTTCTTATTGACAACGGTGCAAAAAATACTTATAAAACACTACGATAAAAATTTTATATTTCTTTACACCTTTAGCACGAATACTCATTTTTAGGGCAAATTTAGGGGTCATTTTTTATCAGGTAAGCCTATGGGAAATTAATATAGTAGTCTCAGACCTGTATCGGGATAAAGAAACTTTAGCTAAGCTATTATACTTCTCGGTAAATTGACCACTTAACTTATAAGACTTACTTACGACAGCTTTACTTACAAAGCTTTTTGAATACTTGCTATGTGATTAATCATATACATTTCAGAATTTCAGTGATACTTTATCATCATTTGATTATTATGCGTTTTTAAATCTACCAAAATGATCTACCAAAATTCATTTTATATACGCTATCATTTAATTGTGAAAAAAGTATTTTTTATCTTAATTACAATTGTTTAAAGCTTACCTAGACAAATCCTTAAAAAATGCAGAAAAATGATATATCCAATTTTCATTTTTGCTGGCTCTGCTCACAATGTTAACATAGCGAATTATTTAACCCTGCACTTCACTTTAAAGTTATAACAAATGTTCTATATGGATTAAGCATCTTAAGCTCTGGATTTTTATGCGTCTAATTAATTTATATATGACTCTCAGTGTAGCGGTACCGGCCACTTGTAACGACGCAATTAACTCAAGTGTTCACTGTAGTGTAGGTTTCTTTAAAAAAAAGATGACAGCTTAGCTGAAAAGTTCGCTGTTATGACGTGGTGTTTATCATATGTAGCACAAAAGGAGCGTGATGCAAAGGACATAGTTTAAGTATGGATACAAGTTATGTGGCAGTCACAAAAATGAATTATCAATGAGTTCAATTGTACTTTAACTTAACATAAAACAACATACACGAGAGATCCTCGGAATATTCTTTTATTTAGACTTGTTTAATCTATTGAATCAGTACTTTATCTGTTTACTTCAAGTGTGTGTGGTTTTTTTGTTTTGTTTTGTGTGGTGTGTTTGTTTCTTTCTTCTTCAAAATAAACATCAAAATAGAAGAGGACATCATGTTTGTACTACGCAGCAATGTGTAACAATCTACAATCGCATATTTATAAAACTGTTTACAGATTAGGTATTAAAATAGAATTTTGCAAAATAACACCAGGAGTTGAAAAAAATAATTATTTTTTAAAATATGAAATATAAAATATATAAAATATTCTTAACTCAGCTTTTACATAATTCACTATTTCTACCGGTGCATTTCGACGAAGTTGCGGCTTATTGTGAAGATGTTCATGCGCATAACCAGAGGGGGTAAAATGCGCATGACCTCAATTTAGCTAAATTTGTGCACGAGTACTTCTTCTCTCCAGCCATTCCAATTTACGTGTACATTATCTTCTTCTAGTGGTACAATCAATGATGAAATCTGACGATATTAATTACTTTTCATCATTTGTTATCAAACATGACCGTGCTTTTTAAAACAGTCAAGACCAATTCGTGCAAGATATATAAACAGCTGCAATAACTAAAGCTAATTGTACAAATGTGGTAAGAACAAACGAATGTATATTTTATTTCCTTAAACTCTCTTAAAGGCTCTTTTACTGCATTAAATTAAGGCATTAAATAGTTAAGAAATTTATCATATTTGGTCTGCAATCACGATGTTGTTTCACAGAACTGTCTTTTTTAAGCTGCATGAAGTATTACCCAGGAAAATACCACCTATTACTACCTCAACCACCAACAGTACCTTTATTACTATACTTCTGTCACTGATGCTGCTACTGCTGCTGCTACTACTACAACAACAACTGCCTCTACTTCAACTACTACTACTATTTCTGCTGCTGCTGCTACTACTATTGCTACTTCTACTATTTCTACTATTTCTACTGCTTCTACTGCTGCCACTGCTGCCACTGCTACTACTAAAACAACTGCTTCTACTTCAACCACTACTACTATTTCTGCTGCTACTACTTCTACTTCTCCTATTTCTACTATTTCTCCTGCTTCTACTGCTACCACTGCTGCTGCAGATACCGCTGTTACTTCTACTTCTACTGCTACTACTACTATAACCAATCCTACTGCTGCTGCTTTTACTATTACTAGAATTTAAAGTACACTGATATCTGTTTATAACAAATGTACTTTAAATTCTAACATTGCTATGCTGTTTATTATGCACTTTAAATTTAAACAGTCCACAATGAATTAATGAATTTGTTTATTAATTTGCAAGCGTCAAATTTTCTGTAAATGTGAAGTGTTTGTTTTCCAAAAGTACCAGATTCTTCACAGAGGTCAAAGTTTTCAAGTGATATATTGTGCAATGCATTAAAGTGACGTCAACTTTGAAGTACATGTATCACATTTTTTAGAGTGGTCACGATGTTTTAAGTGTTGCAATGCACTATTACGACATTGAAATAGGAACAGAAAGGTACTGTGTAAAAGTGCAGTGTTTAGAGGACAACATTCTATTTCAATTCGTCAAAAATAGTAAAGAAACGATTTATTTCTTGTTTAAATTTTGTAAGATCACTAATGCTTTGTAACCTTAAAAGCCATTTGACTGCCTTCGTCTAGAAATTCCATACTTTTGTTTTAAATCTTTTTTCTTTTTTTTTTTTGGGGGGGGGGGGTATTATTTATTTATTTAACCGGCATTTGATTTCATTTATAAATTCAAGTTAAAAGAAGAAAAGAGAAAAAATGCAATACGTATTTTTGCACATTTAGATTATTTAATATGTAACTTAGTTGTACATTGTGTAGGTGACTTATTATTTTAGTCATTTGTAATTATTAAATAACAAATGACTATTTAACTATACTGTGTTTTGCTTTACCTGAATTCAAACTGAGAAACTCTGAAAACATAATTTATACATACAGTCTTTCTCATATATTATCATTTATTTTAAATAAATACATTTATGGATGCGACATATTATACACATGCACCTTTTCCAGCCTCTTTGAATGATATTCTTATGTTTATTGCATATTGTTTTAAAGAATTTTGCACCCAGAGCTGTTACAACATATGTGTCTGCCTTTGGTTATTTCCATGGACTAAGACAAATGCCAGACGTTTCTGTTCATTTCCTGGTTAACAATTCTTTGACTGGTTATCGAAATCTCTTGAAGCGTCCAGATTTCAGGTCACCAATAACTCGAATTATTCTATGATCTCTCATTCAATCTCTGCCACACATAACCCTATGTCATTTTACAAGAACATTGTTTAAAGCCATGCTTCTTGTTATGTTTGCCTGCTTCTTACGTCTTGGGGAAGTAACAGCGACTTCTTCCCATGCACACTTTCACAGATCACATGTATCTTTCAAATATAGAAACCCCATAGGTGAACTGATTGGCTTTGACTTGACTATAAAGATTACAAACATTTCTTTGTTCCTGCACAACATGATTCTAATACTTTCCCAGTATATGCTCTGAGGTCATATCTTAACTTGCGCAAAACATCCAATGGTCCGCTCTTTGCATTTATGGATGATTCCCCTATTCCTCGTTCCTATTATGACCGCCATCTTCGCCTAGCCCTGACATACTTAGGTTTTGATCCTTCAAAATATAAAAGTCACAGTTTCCGTATAGGTGCTGCAAATACAGAAGCGGAAACAGGTTTTTCCGGAAACACAACTCCAACAAATGGGGAGCTGGTCATCCACAGCTTTCCGTAAATATATCCGTATCCCTACCCAACACTATCTGCACTGTAATGTCCCTGGATAAAATTTGACTATAGGACTATCTTGGGGACAAGGGCCTCAGACTAGCATAATCATATCACATTCCTAGGGAACACATTAATACCACATCTTCTGTCTTGGGAACAAGGACCTCAGACAGTATGAATCATTGATGACATAGTTACATTCTTGAGGACAAGGGCCTAAGAAAATTTTGCTGATAATTTTGTTAAATCTCTGTTGTATAGTAATTGATTTTCTTGGGCACAAGTATCTCAGAATGTCAAATGGTAATTTTCAAAAATTACTTTGTTGCATTTTTTATTTTCTTACTTACTGTTTTTATGTGTTTGTCATAGCTTTCAGGGTTTCAATTTTATGTTTTATGTCACAACATATTTCGTAGTACTTAGTTGACCGATATTTCAAAATAGGCAGTTGTTTGCAATATGTGGCGTTGTGATGGTTAACCACCCATACATGGCTAAAAGTTGATATATTTTGCATTGTTGCATAACTGTATTTCTAATAATTGCATTCATTTGGAATGTTAATTTTGTTTTAAATTTGTGTGTTTAACTATTAAGCATTTTTCACATTTAGTCATTTAAATAGCATTAAATGACAGTTTCACTTTATTGTGTCTTTGTTTTTATCTGAAATCAAACTGAGAAAAACTTCGAAAACAAACAACCGACATACATAAACTCATATAACGTTGTCGCCGTGCATATTTTTTAATTTTCTTTTTAGATTTAATGTTTAAATTTCTTATCTTTATTTAAATTTTTATGATTTTTGCAAGTAATCAAGCTTAAATTAAGTAACTATATCTACGGTCATCAAATATTATGAACATGACCACTGGATTGAAAGCAATCATGTACCGGATATGACGTGATTTAAGTACATTGTATTTTAAAGCACAGCAAACCTTCATCAACCTTATTCATATTCTGGGTACTTCTGATCATTATTTAAGAAATGACATGACCAAATTAAAACTGCCGAAATATAGCTTTATACGACTGTATGAAGGACTAAACTACAACTTAAAATACATTATAAGGGTATAATTCCTTACTTTACTGCTGGTTTTAGACTTGATCAGACTCTCATTAACTTCAACAAACTGCTAAGAGAGGGATATTTTTATAGTTGTAATATTGGTTGCTGACGATCAGTGACAGAATGTATGGAACGAAGATACAGCAAGAACGGACAATGGCGAATGTATGGAAAGATAGGGCCAGAACGGTCAGTGACGGAATTATGGAAGGATACAGTCGGAATGGTCAGTGACGCAATGTATGAAACGGTCAGTGGCGGAAGGTATGGGGAAAATGCCAGAACGGTCAGTGACAGAATGTCTGGAACGGTCAGTGCCGGAATGTATTGAAGGGTACAGTCAGAAATGTCAGTGACGGAATGTACGGAAAGATACAGTCGGAAGGTCAGTGACGGAATGTATGGAAAGATACAGTCACAACGGTCAGTGACGGAATGTATGGAAAGATACATTCAGAACGGTCAGTGACGAATGTATGGAAAAATACAGTCAGAACAGTCAGTGACGGAATGTATGGAAAGATACAGCCACAACGGTCAGTGGCAGAATGTATGGAACGGTCAGTGACGGAATGTATGAAAAGATACAGCCACAACGGTCAGTGGCAGAATGTATGGAACGGTCAGTGACGGAATGTATGGAAAGATACAATCAGAACAGTCAGTTTCAGAATGTATGGAACGGTACAGTAAGAACGGTCAGAGGTGGAATGTAATGAACGGTCAGAGGCGAAATGTATGGAAAGATACAGTCAGAACGGTCAGTGAAAAATGTATGGAACGGTCTGTGGCGGAATGTATGGAAAGATACAGTCAGA